CACTTTATATTTGGAAAACGCCAAAGAATGGCTTCGGTCCACTCCAGCTCCTGCCAACTGTTTAATCATCTCTGTTGGTGCGAGCAGCCCTCTCATATCATTGGATATGATTATTGCAGGGAGCACGCAAACACCAGCCAGGACAGGAGGCTGTTTTACAGGTGGAGTCGAGCTCCATTCCATAACCATGATCTTGATTTCCAGGATCGTGATGTGCCCATAAACGCTGCTAAACAAATCACAGACTTGTTTCAGGGAATACTGTTAAGAGCAAGTGGTGGCCTCCGCAGTGACCAGACTTAAACATCATCAAGTCTTTATGAGTTATTCGGCAGAGAGTGCACTTTCACACCATCCCTCATGAAGCAGTTTTTTTTTTTAATAATATTCGTACTGAACTCATCTTAGCCAAGAAATTGCCTCTCTTCAAAAAGATTTTACATTACTTTTTATTATTATTCTGAACTTCCCAAGTTATATTTATGTTTTTGTTGTTTGTTTGTTTTTTTTTGTTTTTTGAGATCAATTGGATCGTAAGACGTGGAGAAGTCAGGAGTCTCGTTAAATGTTGGCCTCGTGAAAAATAATGACAATAATCGGCGTTAAAGCTTTGAATTTAGTTTTGGAGAGAGAAATAGAAAGATCATAGATATTAATATCAAGATTTGCTCTGTCCTCTCCGCTAGCTTTGCACCAAGAAAGCCAAGCAAAACCGACGCCATGACTTAAAATATTTTATGAGGGATGGATTGACATTTAATGAAAGGCTTTTTTGTGAGACTCTGAGGGCAGACGCTGGAACTTGGCAGAAGAGTCTGTTGTGGTTTCAGTGTCCAGTTCAACAACCATTAATGCTGAGTCTGTATTTGTATTAGTACTGATATAATGACACTGCGGCTGTTCATTTTGAATAGTATGGAAAAGTGAGCTCAAAGCAGCAATGAAAGCCATAGTAAGCGTTTTGTTAAGCAACTGAATTCTGCGGAAAGGTTATGAGGTCTATTAACCCTAAATTCACAAACCCAACATTACATTTTTTTTGTTCATTTATCTTTTTTTTTTTTTCAATGAAACAAAATTCATATGTGTTATGAGGTCATGTCTCTTTTTGTCCATCAGTTGTCTTTGCTTGATTAAATTTAATTTAATTTTAAATAAAATATAAAACCACTCTTAGAAACATGTTTGTCTTTCTTGAGTTCCCAGAAGCGTCTCTGAGGAAAACTATGGCTCATATGGTTCAGAATCCTCTTCATATGAAAGACCATGGCCCGAGAGACGGGTTTGGAAGTGACAAAATACATTAAGCGCCATCGTTCCTCCACTCTGCAAATAACAAGGCGACAATTCTCATCAATGAAAACGTGACTTTTTTCAGCATAAAGTCTCCAAAAGCTTTCCACTGAATGCAGGTAAAAACCTGCATTCAGTGTAAGTTTGTAAATCTTGTGCATCTCCTTGAATTGGCTTTGCTTCATAATCCCTTGTAGGTTGTGATTACGTTGCTTGTGCACCTTTATCGTTACGCACATTTTCCGTTCACTCCGTTAAACGCGGCTACGTATCCCTGGTGTTCTTGGGTGCTGAGCGCTGCAAGGTTTATGCCCGTCTCAACATTATAACTTCCTTTTAATTCCAGATGACAAATTAGCACACATATCCACCACACACACACACACACACACACACATGTTTGCATGGCTATCTTTGTGGGGACTTTCCATTAACTTCCACTTATTTCTACAGCCTAAACCTTACCCTTATCCTAACCCTATCCATAACATATCTAACCCTAAGACTAACCAAAACTCAATTCACACTTTAGTCCTAAATCTAAACCCTGACCCAAAAACAGAACAGTGGGTTCCCACAACATAGTATGTGTCAGGAAAATGGTCCCTACAAGGTATTACGAATAAATGCACACACTAAACAGAAATAAACACGTGCAATATTTAACTCAGACAGTACTGATTCCATATAAAACATTATAGGAGAAAGTCTTTTTTTATTTGAACTATAGAAATAAATTACATTTTAAATGATTTTGTCAATTCATCAGGATGAACCTGCAGTATAAACTAATTAAAATTCCTGTAAATCATATTGTGATCCTGTCTGTGAATGACAAGCTGTAATAGAACAAGTGGAAATGCAAGTAGGAACTGTTTTTTGAGCTCGGCCCAACTATTCGCCTCGGTAATAAAAACCATACTGACCAGAGAACTGTTCTTCCAGATGTAGTAGGAGCCATTTGAGAGCACCTTGGTTGTGGACAAGATGAAGCAAATGATGGATGAGTTTTGGCTCTATTTTCAGCCTAATATCTTTTCTATGCCACGTTTTCTTCACACCATATTTTGTCCCACGCAAAGAGTTGCACTGTCCAGTGGCCAGAGTGCGAGAATGAGAAGTCAAAGAAATTTATGGACACTGCAGCGCTCCTATAATCATTCCAGTTACTTTTCACTGTCTGCAGCTTTGTTTATCAATTCCCTCCAGACTGCTGATTCAGATTTTCCACAATGCATTATTTTTATTTCTGTGGGTTGTTTTCTTTTTTTTTTCTTTCACTCCAGAAAATCCCAAATCTTTAGGAGAGCATTACAACTGAAAACCTTCACGTCAACTCGAACACGCAACGCAAAGAAAAGCAAAGATGTCAGTGCCACTAGCACAAATCCCACTTCATCGTATATTACTGACACACTTACTGCTTGGAGCNTAGCNGGTAACAAACACCTCTGGTTATTCTCCAGTCTAACGCCACTGAACAGCAGGAGGTGACATCAGCAAAGCCTACCTGTCATAAAAAAAAGGTGGGGGGAAAAACCCCCAGCTGATTTCCACTATTAGATTTTTTTTTTCTTCTGTGTTTTACTTTATTTCCACAGACGTTTTACCAGGATTTGTTGTAGAACGATGTTCAGAACATCAGTGACTTACACCTTCATACATTGCAGTTTCTTGTGTTCAAAGGTAGTAATTTCTCATAGCTCGAGGGGCAAAAAGAAATATCAAAACATCATTACTCAGAATGTCAGAGTTAAGCTACTTTAACTGCGACGCCATAAAGTTCACAAGTGGAACTTTGTCTGTGTGGGACAAAACATGATTAAGAACCTGGTCAACTAGCTTAGATTTCTTTACTTTGGCCTTCTGTTTTCATCTCGTTTACTTTTGTAGAGATCCAGCTTCTGACAAGTTACAGAAACATTCTTTTTTTTTTCTCCCCCTGCCTGCAGGGGATTCTCAAAGTGTTGTAGTTCTCTGTGCTCAGACTGCACTCTTACATGACTCAGTTTTTCAAAGTCACAGAGCAGAACAAGCTGCCTCTGTTGTAGATCACCCCAGTCTAGACACTACCTTTCATTACTCAGAGGCGGAACGTCCTGTTTCATTATTTCACATTTAATAAAGCCGTAGAAACAACGGATGAGACAAAAAAAAACAAAAAAAAAAAACGACATACACATATGAGACATAACATTATAACCACCTGCCTAAACGTTTATTGGACCCATTTTGATTTCTAAACAGAGCTGATCCACTGAGGCAAGAACTTCACTTGACCTTTCAAGGTGTGCTGTGGTATCTGGCACCGAGATGTTAGCAACAGATCCTTTAAATCCCGTAAGTTGTGAGGTGTGGGCTCGGTGGATCAGACTCGTTTGCCCGGCACATACCAACGGCGATTGAGATCTGGGAAAACTTGGAAGCTAATTCAAACTCCCAAATGTGCTACAGCGCTCCAAAAGCTGTTACTGTCCCAGTTTTGGTTTGTCGGATTATCGCGGCTGAAGAAAACCACAGCCAGTAATGCTGTTTTCGTGAAAGAGCATGCATGGTCTGCATCATTCACATGGACTTTAGGACACCAGTTTTCACAGTGAAACATTCCTCAAACCATAACACTGTCTATGCTTCTTCCCAAACTTCAATCTAGTGACCAAAAATTAATGACCTGATTCAACTGGATTATATGGAACAATAAATTATTGCAGTATGCACTTTCTGCAGTGGACAAGCATGAGTGCCCTGGCTGTCCCATACACAACATGTTCCAATACAGTGTTTATTCTGACACTTTTCCCTCACATGCCAATACTTATGGCCAGGCTATGCTACTCATATCCATGAGCATTGGTCGGCCATGTTCCTTCCACAATGCCCTTCTGATGAATGTGTTGTGATGTTCCATGATGAAGAAATAATCAGTGCAATTCACTGTACTTGTCAGTGATCATAATCTATTGCCTAATCACAGTATATCACTATTAATGCGGTTTATTTTCTTTCTTTTTTTTTTAAATAGATTTCCTTCTGCACAAATTCAGCTCTGTCTCTGTTTATATGGAACAGAAAGAGTCAGGATTATATTGGTGCTAAAGTTAATTGCACCATATATTCCTGAAGATTATTGCAGGAGCATAAATTAAACAGTTGACAAACATTTTGCCTACTGTATAATCTCTAATTTGATAGCGTCCCACTAAAATACCACAAAATACATCAAATAGTTCAGGTGGAATTTGTAAAAAAAAAAAAAAAAAAAAAAAAACTAAATAAATGATTTAAATAATTATCAATAACTCCAGTTACTTTAGCTAAAGAAATTGAAAGCAACCAACTACTGCTGCCTAGCCTCCATGAAAGAACAGTTTTGAGCTCTGTGTCTAATAATTGAGGATTTATTTTCAAGTAGTTATAGAGAACATGAAAAGCTATGCTCCACATTTACCACACAACTTTGGAATCTGGTCAGAATCTGTCTTTAATTAACTCAACAGCCCACCAACAAAGTGCCGCACAATACACAATGTGGCTGTATTGTTAGAAACAGACTGACCCCAATCAAAGAACAGGAAGGATCTGGAGATTATATATATATATATATATATATATATATATATATATATATATATATATATATATATATATATATATATATATATATATATATATATATGTCTATGTCTATGTAGTCCCGCTCTATGTCGGTAGGTTGTGGTTGTCCGCAGCCAGCAGCAGCAGCTCGGCGGACACAGATTGCAGTAGCTACTTGCTGGATGAGCGCTGTGACAGTCTGGTGGTTAAATATGGAATATTTACATGGAGCGAACAGCAAGAACACCGTGCGCACCCGTGAGAAAAAAACGAGGCTGTAGCTGCGCAAATTACAAAACCATCTAACCCCGCGGTTATTTATGGCTTCTGGCTCGGAGGATGATGAAGGGAACACGACGGGCGCTTCATGGAGACTTATAGGCCCAGCCTCGGAGCTTTCCAAGAAGCCCTGCCGTGTAATGTACTCCCCTCTCGGCCGCGACAGTGATGTCTGCCTCTTTTATGTCAGGGGACAGTTTTTTGCCATGGACGCCCGCTGTGCACACTCCGGTAAAAACACATTTAATTTCTGCCTGGTTTGAAGGAAAGCGGCGGTTCGCTGAATGTATGAGGAATGCAGCCCATGTTGACATGTGTGGCGATTGTTTCTTTTGCAAATTCATGGGAATATGCAAGACTAGAAGGATAGATGGAAAAAAAAAAAAAAAATTTTGCCCCCTGCCGTCTGGTTCTCAGAAATTACCAATTGTCACCTTCACCTTTTCTCGAAAGAAGAATAATTTAGATAAGACACACTAGATTAAAACTATGAAGGTAGCTTTTATAAAAATATTTTTTGTTGTTGTTGTTGTTTTGTTTTTACAATTTTGTTAAAACTGTCACGATGTCCTGACAGTAAGAGACAGAGAATCTGTCTCATGTTATGTGAGGAATGGGAATATGTCAGAAACAACCATTTGGAGGCAAAAAGAAGGTCTTAGTCTTACAACACTCCTGAGCAGTGTTTCAGAGCACAGCAATTATTCAGGAACATTTGACAATCATGAAATGCATGAAGGTGGTTCTGGGATTAGAAACCAGGATGAGGGGGAATGGAGCTCAAATGACTCAAAGTTTGTCCAAAGCTATAATCTCCTTTAATGTTATCCACCTTGATTCTTGTGATGTCATCAACTTAAACTCACCAAACAGAAGTAGCAGAGGGGAAGGGGGTGGAGGCGTTGATATTTTTTATTTATTTTTTTATTTTTTATTTTTTTCTGAGTGCGCTTCTCGTGGAAACCCACACTTCGTTATCCACCTGTGTTTTTAACATAAATTCTCCACCATAGTAACTTTATCTGCTTGCTGCACTAACCTCAGGGGGTCCTCTGTGTGAGGGGGACATTGAGGAGGCTGATGGAGTCCTGCAGGTCTTCTGCCCCTGGCATGACTACGGCTATGATCTCAGAACTGGGAAGTCTGGGACATTATTAGAGGTCAGTGATGCAGTAAAAAAAAAAAAAAAAAAGCCTTATTAGTTGTGTCCTTATTCGATCCATGTGCTTAAATCTCCATATAAAATGATTATATGAGCAAATAATGTCTTATGTGCAAGCAAAAAGTATGAATTTGACACACATTGTGTAATAATAAAATATCACTGGGTACAATAAATGTTTTATTATTTTTATTAATCCCAGCTTGGGAAATTTCTTCGTTGCAGCAGCAGACAAAAGAAATAATTTTGCAATCAATGCATAAGATTTAATCCCTTCATTTGCAACTAACTAAATTTAATTAAAATGGCAGCAACACCAGTGCAAAGTAATGGTTTTCAATAAATTGTATCCAATTTGGGTAAAGCAAAACTTTAGATATGATGGCACGTTGTGTTTTTTTGTCAGTATTGTCTGGTTTTTCACAGATGACATCAGTTGCACACATTAAGATATAATTGTTTTCCACTGCTGTTTGTCATTTTTCGAGCACTTATGGCTTTTCGTCTTGTGGTTTCATTTTCACAGCAACAAGTTTATGAAGTAAAGCTGGTGGACGGCGACGTGTACGTGAAGCACGCAAGTCATCTCTCCCTCAGGCCTTTTCCAGCAAATCCGAAAAACTGAGTTATCTCAGCGCAGCTGGTTCATCCTATTTTTAAGACTTTTTCCACAAGCACAAGTCATCCGAAAACATTCCAGAGCCTTATCTCTGTTGTTCTAAGAGTTGTTTTTACTTTGCTGAGAGCTCAGGACTAAGGAGACCGTCCGAAGAGGACATGACATCGTGAAGTTGTTTTTCTTGTTGGCACTGTATACCAGGCAAAGTTCAGAGTTCAACACAAGCTGTTAAGATGAAGAGTTGTGAACTTTATGTTTTTCTCAATGGAGAAAAGGCAAATACAAGAAATACATTTCTTTGCAAAAGTATTCATATCCTGTTTGTCTATCCCCACAAACTTCATGTATTTAATTAAGACTTTATCTGACAGAACAAATTGTGAGGTGTCAGAAAAAAAAAAGAGGATTTGTTTTCAATATTAGTTCTTGTCAATAAAACTCTGAAACGTCTCCAGTGTGTTTGTATTGGTGACCCTGAAGTGTGGTAAAATTGTGCCACCAGCTGAAAACTACACTGCACAGGACTTTGAACACACTGTTCACCTTCACACTGTGAAAATAGTGGTGGAAGCGTCATGATGTGGTGGGCGGGGGGATACTTTTCAAGTTCAAATTGAGAATCTGTGGCAAGATTGGACAAAATGCTGCTCACCGTCACTGCATTCAGTCTGAGTAAGGCTCAAGCTGTTTTGCAAAGAGTGGTTAAAAATGTTTGTAGATGTGTAAACCTGTTAGAGAGACATAGAAAAATACTTTTAGATTCATAAAAGGTGGTTCTACTGAGCACATTGACCAAGACGTATTTAGTGCAAGCGCTTTTCGTACTTCTCAGATTTTTATTTTTTTATTTTTTTTATAAATTAAAATCTTCTACCCTCTTCTTTCAATTGCAAAGTGTCATACTGCCTTGTCTGACATTGTTTGTTTGTTTTTTTCCCAGAAAAACGTGCAGCTTGTAATGTGGCAAAATGTGAAAAAGATTCAAAATTTAGATTTTCTTTGAGACAAAAGTGTTTCTCATAATAAATAAACACACATTAATTGTACAAGTTTTCAAAAGCAGCAAAAAAATATGAAAATGTTTTGTTTTAATCTCTTTGAGTTGACAATTGATCGTGTCTATCAGTTCAACATTGCCGTCAATACAGACTCCAGTGAAGCATTTCCATTTATGTCAGATTTATTAAAGGTTTTTGCAATATTTGCTCATTTAGACTGTAAGTCATTGATTTTTAATATATTTAAATTTAAACTATTAATAAAGTATTAATCTGAATTCTTCTCATGCACACCAGGGGGCGACACCTCCAGCTGACTTTGTGTATTTTATTTTATTTTATTTTTTTAGAATTATGTGGTTTAAATAGTTTTTATTTCTTATTTGATCAGTTATCTCATGAAAACTTCCCCAGATGTTTGTGTGACCTCTGATGCTGCTTGGTGAGGTCAAGCTGGTAATAACTTCTTATGAAGAACTTTTTCGCTTATTCAAACCACAAACAAAAGTCAAGGAGTTACATCACGGTTTGCTATTTCCTTTTGTTAAGATCTAAAACTATGTCATCCTGATAAGACATTGCAATGTTCTTTATTTAAAAAAAAAGAAAATAAAAGAAACTGGCTTTATGTGTGATCAAGTAGTAATGAATTAAGCTTAATCTTCTCCCTCAACACTTATGTAACATTATCTAAAGTGTCTAACATCCCCACAATGGTCTCATTAAACCCAAAATTGTCTTCCTTTCATCAACAAACTTTACATGTGGTCTGAAACTGTTAGACTCACTGTTGAGTTATGTGGACTGGAGCACGTATAAACACTTATTCTGCTCATCTCACAATGCAAACAGTGTTGTTTCTTGACAATTTGTGGCCCAACAAAAGAAGCAATGAAAATGGTGCAACGAGTGGCTGTTTAATTTGTGGGCTATTAGCATGTATACATATTATACAGTATATATGTATATCCCTCCATTCCTGGCTTTGGTACAGGCAGGCTTTTATTTTATTGACCCAGTATGATTTAAGAAGACCAGTTTGGAGGTTCGTGGCCTGAAATGCACCGTGGGCTCATAGAAACCTTTTTTTTTTTTTTTTTTTTTTGTTTGTGCCCACCAATGCCAATGTGTGTTCTTTATTCGTTAGCTGTGAGCGCCATCGGTCAGTATATTTTCTTTCAGCTCAATTTTCTGGCAAATGCAGAGCCCAGTCATAAAGGTGTCAGTGACAGCATGTCTCAACACTCTGCTTTTCCTCCCCACTGTGCTCCCTGTTGTGCAACTTTATGACAATAATTATTCTCCTAGCTAAAAATATCTGTTCTGTGCACCAGAGGTGTCAGCCTTCCGTGCTGTAAGTCATCACCTGGAGGGAAATGAGCTCCAGGGATGTAGCCGTTCAGCATGGGTATGGAAGTCAAAGTAAACTTGGCTCACAGTGATGCAGGAATGGTTTCCGCAGCTCCACATGTTGAACTTACATTCCGAAGGTAAAAGGGCTTTTTCATGTGTCCCATTTAGTGAATTCTTTATGTTATTATATATAAACATACAATAAATATTGTGTGTAGAGCTTTGCTCCATTTCCTAGGTGGAAATGGAGCACCATTTCCACCTAGAAACAACCCCAAACTGGCGCTGCACTGAGAGGTGTAACGTCGAACGAATTGAATTATTTTATTTTGAAACTTGCAAGTATAAATGGGTTAGTGACACTTTACGCAAACCAAAATTACAAACCTAAATTTTAATAAAGAAACTGCATGATTTCACTGAGTCCCTGAGGAGGTCTGAAGATGTTCTCTGTGTGACTAAAACATGAAACTGAAAGAGAAATGCACTTTTTGTTTCATTGTGCTTTGCATGCAATTCTCAGGAATGAAATGCTTGCTAAAGTACTTGATGTTTGTCCAGATTTGTTTTATGGGTGTGCTGAAGATAAACTGCAGTTTGTTTGTTTTCCAAATATCAGCTCAGTACGTTTCAAACGCTCGGCACCTTTGAAAACAGGACACTTTGTGTTTGAGGGATGCTCATGTTGATCTCTGTCTGCATCTTTGAATATATTTGTGTCTGACCAATTCATGAGGGCTTTGCACATTTTACTGTATTCATCACAAAAGAAATAATCTACTTCTAACAGATTATTTCTATTCTATTAGATTATTTCTGTTTTATGGGGCAGAAGTTGTCACTTCACAGACTTCATGCATAATGTTCCAGTAACTATCCCTTTTATTTGCAATGTCTTCCAAAAGTATTCACACCCCTCTCAGTTTTTCACGTTTTGCCAAAAACTTCAATATGTTTACTGAGGATGTCGTGTAAGTGAACAGCACAAAGCAGTACATCATTTTAAAATCAGAGGTACATGTTGTATATTTTAATGTTTTACAAATAAAAATCAGAAAGGTGGCGCCCTGATACCCCTAAATAAACTGGTAGCAACCAGTTGCCTTCAGGGGTCACCCCATTGATGGAGTCAACCTGTTTGTAACTCAACCAAAACTAAAACTACGGCTGTTCTGTAAAGACCCTGGAGGTTACCTGGAGAACAGATATGAAGAAAAAGATATTATGAAGATTAAGGAGCACAGTAGGAAGGTCATGGATAAATATGTGCAATACCAAGGTTGACACAACTCCACAGAGAAGAGCTTTAATCAGATAAATAACTAAAAGGCCCATTGTACCTCTGGAGGAGCTGCAGAGTTACACAGCTAAGGTGGAATAATTTGCTCATATCTCAGCTGTTAGTTGTGTGCTCTAAAACATCTGGTCTCTCTATAAAATGATAAGTTCTGACTCCTGATATTCACAGATGCTCCCCATCTAAACTCAATAAGCTTAAAATAAGACAAGATTTAACTAATAAGAATGAGAAAACTTATAGTCCTCTCTGCATTAAGCTGACTGATACATAAAGCAAAGGTTCTGCGGTTGAAACTGCAGCGAAAGGTGCTTCTGAAAAGTATTGCGTTCTTGACATGAATATAAATACATAAAATACTTCGATCTTTATTTGCGAAAGAAAGGAGAACCACAAATTATTTTTCCTTCACCATTTTGAGGCTGATCTGTCATATAAAATAATTATTGTTGTAACTAGACATATGAAAAAGTTAAGAAAGTATGATTACTTCTGTTAATAAACACTGTTATTTATTGCATAAAGTGACAGAGTTTCTGGTTCCCGTTTTAGACTTCAGATGTTGTCATTGTTTTATCCGGTTCCTCCTGTTCCCTCCCACTTTCCCAAATCCAGCATGTGAAGTCAGCTGGTGTGAAGGTGTACTTGGTGTCGATTCTGTGTCGGACTGGTGACCCGACCAGGGTGTAATTTACATCTCGTAATGAATGCTTCCTTCAGACAAACATCAGTCCTTTTACGCCTTTATTTACAGTTTCGTGTTCATAGTTTAATTATAGATTCAATACAAGACACAATTTACACATTAAAATGTAGATCAGAAATAAACAAAGCAGTCAGCATGATCATGCATCAATTATACAATACAGAGTGCTGTCAAGATTTCAGTGGTTTATTTTATTTTATTTTTTCTTCCAGGGCCCAGTGACCAACACACATTTTGCCTCATTTACTGAAGAAAGGGCTCCTGGTTTACCTTCTAAATAAATTATGATCTCACTGATATCATCTGTGCTTTGCAAGGAGGAAATTATCTGAATCTGCTCATACTTGCTGATGATAAACTCTTCATTCAAACTTTTAGGATTTCTGCTTTACAACTTAAAGGAATTCATAACCAACAGAGAAGAAACCTGGTCTAAGTATTCTGAAACTAAGTCATTTTCCTTTTCACTGATAATTATCATGAGACTGTGTATTTTTTATTTGTTTTTTGTTTTTTATTGGAAACCCTATTTTGTTATGTCGGGGTTGAACCAGAGAGTCTCATGAAACCAGACCCAAATCAAGAAAGCCTTTTCTTTAAAAAATAGATTCTTTGTGTGTTCCTAAAAACACACTTAGTCCCCTGTCAAGTGCAGCCCAGTTTTCTGTTCTGCATAAGTTGTGAACTTAATGAAGCAAATACAGTACAATATGCCCCGCTGGCCAAGTGGCTCTGCTGGGTAAACTAAATCAAGACATTTTTGCTACATAAACTAAAGCGAGAAGTTTACTTTCACAGAAAACAACAACAACAACAAAAAAAAAGTTATATGTTGCCTAAACATGGCAGTTTGGCTTAGCAGAGGAAACGCAACATTAGCACCTGGAAACGCCAAAAGCATTGGATGATATTCCAAACATGTCTAAACGCCGTAGCTAACGTAAATCTTCAGGTAATAACTGAGATATAAGATGATGCCTCATATCTCCACCATTGCAATGCTCCCATTTCACTTTCATAGCCTTTTCATACACTAGTGGCAGAGAAAACACTTGCAGTTGTTGTTGTTAACGATATGTTGGAAGTTTGGAAATTGATCTCTCTTCTGTTTTCTTTTTTGTTGGGACCAATTTTTCATAATTCGGATCTTTAAAATGTGTTTTTAAGTTAGGCCCAAGTCATCACATCTTTGATTTGAAAATTAGATTAGATGTGCGTCTCTCAAGGTAGAAAGACAACGTGACAGCAATGTGATTTATGAACAACAGCAAAATGTCCATTTTTATATGCATTTCATTTAAAAAGAAAACGTAAAAATATATATTCCCTTCTCAATAAACAATAGGAAAATAATTTTCCACTGGTTTGTTGACATCTTTGATCTTTGGCTCCCTCTCCACATTCTCTACCAGACTGAATGCTTCAAACACATTATGCTGCAAATGAGATCTGTGCTTGACTATGTTACTACTGTGGTCTTGAAATGTTAAAGTAAGTGGAGATGGACATTTGGTTAAATCACTGTTGGAAAATCCACTATAATGTGTGTCTAAAATTAGCCCATGTTGGGATGCCGTACCATACTTTTCTTTAGTTTATCTTCAGTGGAAAGAAATTTGTGGGAAACAGGCTCATTGTCTGTCAGAAAGGACCTTGAGTTGGTTTCTTTCAGATGTTCAAAATATGAGTTGAATAGCAATTTATGAAATGTTTTTGGTTGACCAGTAATTGGAGAACATAAATGTAAAAAAGTCAACTGCTGCGGAAATAATGTATTTCTATTTTTTTGTAGTAGAATGGTAAAACAGTGGGTGTCAAGTTCATCCCAAAAACTAGTAGATTGCTTAAAAAAAAAAAATCTAATTTTTTTTTAGCCAAAATTCTGCTAGCTGTGGATGAGATATGTAAGAGCGACACACATGTGAGTTTGTTTTGCAAAATATCCAAGTTAGTGTGAACAGGCTCACTTTATCCATTTGAAACATTCTCACGCCATTAAAGACAAACATTGCAGAGGTCCCTTAAACTTGTTTAGATTCTCTCGAGACATAGGAACCGGCTGGAGAACACAGTCGGCTTTTTCCAGGATAATATCTTTTGACAAAGCAAATTCTCCTTTCAAAGCATTTTCAGGAAAAAACTAAACAAAAAACAGCTGCATTCTTCAGCTGCAACCACTTTTTCAAAATCAGGATCCTTTAAGTGACAGACAGTGAGACCAAAGACCACATTCCCCTTTCCAATAAGAGAATGAAATGATTGAATCCATCAGGAGATAATCTCGCTTCTATTTTCTTTTTTTGAAGTCTAAAGTTTGACATTTCCTTTATTTGCAGTACATCTGTTGAGTGGCCTTAACTGACCTGACACACCGCTGCATTAGAAGACTTATCTCTTTTGACACACGGATTCAATTATCATCTTTGTTACTGGGCGAACCGAGCATCTGGAGCTGGGAGATTTTTGTCTTAATCTGGAGTTCTAAACATCTTTCTGCAAACAGGTTTGTGGTTAGTGAAGAGTGGCGATAATGGCGAAGATGACCCAGACTGTCACTGCGAGTGCCTTTCTGGAAACGAGGGCTATCTGTAAAGTGCTGCCAAATGTATCTGTAGGTTTATATGGTTGTAATTTAGATAGACTCTTCATCTGTTGCATAGCATGTGTAAATGTAATGCCAAAACTGACAACAAACAAATGCTTAGTGTGCTGGTTAGCACTTGCATGGTGTACTCATTTATAATAATACTCGGGGCCCAGCGTTTTGTTGGTGATAAAGTTGAGTTTGAGTTAGTTTGCAGAAAATTACCGTGTTTTGAAGTTTGCAAAAGTACAACCTTTTCACTAGACCTCAGGCCAGTCCTAGTTGCTAATTAACATTAAGCCTGTATTTACTTGTCGACTTCTTCCTGTTTCCCCAAGGGCAATGGTGCTCCCATTGGATTTGGATGCAAATTAGTTCAGCTTGAATAGATTATCCCATGGGCTTACAAAAGGCTAAGCGAATGATAAACAAGTTCTGGGCTTGTAATTTTAAGACTAATAATGACTTCAAGTTAAAAAGATATTTGTCAAAAAGCGTCCATGCCCAAAGCCTCCAAAAGTGTTTGTTTTGCACAGTATCCACTTACAGCATGGCCAAGGTGAATTTTTTAATTTTGTTTTGTTTCAGCAATGCAATGCGCTTCTTAAACAAAGAAACGGTCTGCTGAGAATTGTGAGCCTTACCAATGAAATGAAACTCTGATGCAAAACATCCAAGAGATTCAAGCGGACAAAACAACATAGGCTGAGTATAAAGGACTAAGATTAAAACATCATAATTTATGTGAAAAAAGTATAATGCAAGTTTTGCCAAGCTGTGCAGACACACTACTTGCTATTGAGCTTGCTGTTTTAAAGCTAATGTGTCCGTCAAGAAGCTCAATTAAAGAAATCTCACTGAACTGAACTGAGCTGCAGTTCAGAGCTATTTTTTGTGAACCACGAACAATTGCTCTGTAACTATAAAACTATTTTGTCACTTGTTTATATGAATATTTGTTCTTTTTTTTATCCCTGATACTGATCACAGTCACATAGGAAAATCCATTTGTTGATACCAAGTTCCAGTCTGATTACATCTTTAAATATATTAACAGCCATACAATGAAAAGTTAAGCCCAAAATTATTAATATCCCTGGCAGATTTAGATTTAAAGGTTCAATAATGGAATAGCTCAAAGGATAAAACACAACTAAAAGGAGGACCAGTTTAGAAAAAAGTTGTGCATCTATTTATTAAATAAAAGTATGTTAATATTTATTTGAACCCTTTCTATTAACCTCTGGACAAATCGTAGTTAAATTTTTGACAGCGCTGATCTCCAGAAAAGTCAAGTGTTGCTCCTAGTACTAAGGTTATTTTAAAGCTATGCTACTGTTAGCACATTTTAATTTGATTTGGCTTGTTGATTAGTTGGGTCACAATATTCTTCAATGTAGTTTAGTTATTCCTATTAAGAAAAAGGACAATTAATTGCAATGAAAAACCTTTAATATTGAGTTTTTGCTGTTCTCGGACTGTTTTGTTGATGGAAGAAAGCTGTAAGAAAAAGACTCGGGTTCAAAGCTGAAGGCACAAAATATTGTGCCTTATTTAATTATTCTATACTTCTTTATATCCAGTTATTAGATATGAGTTTTCTTAAGGATTCATTAACTTTTAATCATACTCTTGGAGTGGTTTCATTTACCTACTATACTTAACAGTGTGCTGCAATTTAAAACATGGTGAATTTTTCCAGTTTTGATCTTTCATTATCACTATTGCACTTCAAACATCAGGATAGCTCAAAAACCCCAGCAACAAATCAAAGACCATGCAAAACTTAAGTCTTTTAATGTAAGAGGAAAGAAATACATACTCATTTAGTTTGTTTGTATGTTTATCTGGAATGTGCATAGGAAATTATTTCAGACTTCAACAATAATTCATTTTCCTGGCATGAATTGCCTCTAATGACATCCATGTTTGTCTAAGTGACGGCTGTGGTCTGGCACATTTGAAGTAGGTGGGGACAGACATTTGGCTGAATTACTATTGGTGAAACGTTATTGAGTATGTCTAAAGTGATCCTTCTTACCCATCTTGGCATGCCATACCACACTGGTTTGAACTGACCGTGTGTCGGTGGAAAGAGTTTACAAATTTGTGGAAAATAGGCTCATTATCTGTCAGCCAAGACCTTATGTTGGGATCTTGAAAGTATGAGTTCATTGGCAGCTTACAGTCATGAAGTATTTTGGTTTATCAAAGTATTTATATTTGAAAGTTTGGTTTTAGATCAAGCATTGAAAGATGTCTGTGAAATAAACTCCCACATATACACCCCATAAAAAGGTTCTTAGGTCCACTGTTAATATTGCATATTCATTCATAAAATTAGAACACAGGCAAAAAATAAATACAAGGCACTAAGTTATGAAGAGTCAAGTGATATTTACCTTTTATAAGAGAAATTAAACAAAATGAATAAACCAAAACATTCAAGTTACTATAAGACAAATGATCTACACTAGATTTTGCCCATATGTCTCAGTCTTTTCATTTTTTATTTATTTATTTTTTGTCTGTCAGGAAGCAAGTCATACTTTTGATTAGACAGGCTACCGTTACTGTCTAGATCAGGGGTGCCCAAGTCCAGTCCTCGAGAGCTACCATCCTGCAAGTTTTAGAAGTATCCTTACTCCAACATACCTGGATCAGCTCTACAGAGGCCTGATATAGAGCCATTCATTTGATTCAGGTGTGCTGAAGCAGGGATGCATCTGAAAGTTGCAGGATGGTAGCTCTCGAGGACTGGACTTGGGCACCCCTGGTCTAGATGTAGGGCCTTCAAATTAGTCTTCACTAGTGTCCAAGGAATTAAAAAAAAATAAGGCATTGACCATTTCAACATTACCATCACGGTAAACATAGATAACCTACTTCATGACACATCTATTGGCGCTGTTGTGCTTGCATGGATGCTCTCCTTCTGGTTGCAGAACTAGCTCGCCGATTTTGGGTCCTTCCCCGCTGCTCTGAAGGAAAAGCCACGACCTGGGTTGATGATCTCTGCACCTGCAGACCCTCCACTTCCCTCATGTCCCTTGCCATCTGAGACAATGTTTGACCCGGATTGGTCTGCAGACGCTGGAAGAGGCTTTCTCTGTTAATTTTTTTCTCTGGACAGCTAAAGGTCAGCGCCACACCAAAGTCTGACTTCATCTCTCTTGAGAAACCATCGGAGGTGCCATCAAAGCAACGCCCAATGGCGATCTCTTTGGCAACTCTGGGATTCTGGTCTGTGACTGTGTAGATGCCATAGTTGTGTCCCAATGGATCAACGGGGGCCAACATGGTGAATGCGTGTGATTCGTTGTTTTGAGCAACTGGTGGATGTTTAATCAGATACTCCTGTAGGAGGCCATTGGTACTAATTCTTCGACAGCTACCTTGTGGAATCACCGATATGAGTGATCTGTCCACCTCCGCTTGATCAAACAACATGCCACTACACTTGAACTCAACACATGCAGCTGAGGTGTTGGCCTCTCGCATGTCACGGGTACTGCGAATGTCTCTAATGCCATAAAGTTTGCCCCTCGTCTCTGCATGTGTTCCTCCCAGGTTCCTTGACCGGACCATCACTTCCTTCTGGCCGTGAATCTTGACTTTGATGAAGCATGCTCTAAACTCCTGGGGGTTAGGCCACCAAGAGAGGTAGTCTCCCGTCCAGGTTGTCAAGTCGTTCTCCTCAAAAGGAACAACATTGTACTCATACTTGTCCTTTTCCACTCTGAAAAATCTGAAATGGTTTGCGTCCACAGGAGCATTTTCACAAGCTAATAAATTCTGATAAGGATATATTGGTCCGTTCGTCTCGTCAAAATTGTTCTGGTTAGGCTTTGCCAAATTGATTCTGAATGCAGTTTTCTTTAGAGCTGGATCCTCATGATCAGAGCGCTGGTAGTCTAACTTATCTAGATAAGGTTGGGAAACTCCAATAATGTTTGGATTCATCTTAGGGGAAGACGGAGCTGCTTCCAGCTCCTCTCCACCCAGTATGGCTGTGACATAAGCAGTGTAAGCATCCGGTCTCATGGCATCACAAAAAGCAGGCAAACAAGCCCCGTTGGGTCCGGTTAGGACGCTGTCAAACCGACCCCATGCCCTGGGATTAGATGAATAACCAGGTTTGGGCTCCAAGTTTATCAAACTGATAACAACTCCCTCCAACTGTTCAGTCGGGAGGAACTTTTCACTCATGTAGGCACGCACTTTAACATAACAGCGCCTGTTTTCGGGCACATCTAAATTGAAGAGCCTGCGTTCTCTAATCTCCATGTTGCCTATTAGAAAGGTGCGCTCCTCACGCTTGCTTCGTCCATGACCGCCAGCAGTTGTCGCGCTGTAGGAGAAATCACTCTCCTCCTCCCAGACACCAGTATCTGGGTTTAAAGACCACAGCTTCATTGTGGGAATGTGCTCTTGCATTTTAACATGCTGCGTGTCAAGGAGAACTTGGACTGCCCCTGTTCCAAGAACCTCCTTGCTGGTCTCATCTCTAAAGTCAACTGAGAACATGCCGTAGGTCCTCAATGGCAGCATGTCACCTTCTTCATCCACAAAGTTGAGGTCACCAGGGGCTGCTGCTGCTGTCGTAATGTTTCTTGGATCAATAAATGTGACGCTGGCTTTCACTGTCCCCTCATAGATTTCTCCGTTGTCTTTATGGAAGGAGTGGGGTGGAATGACCAGTTGCCCTATCGGATCTTCCCCTTTAATTTCCCCAAGGTCTATAAAATTGGTCTCTCCTGGATTTATATCAACCGGTGTCTGCTTTCTCATCACTTTCACATTATGATAGATGGAGCCACTTTTCTTGTCAAAAATGAACACCTTCGGAGTGTCAATGTACGTTTGAGTAGGATCAACAAAATTCACCACCAATCTTTGTGTGTCTGGAGTAATTTGCAATGTAAACCCTCCCTGGTATCCGGTGGTGCCTACTCTATCTTTACCAATATAAATATGCCCAAATCGCAGAGGCTCGTCATTGTCGGCTGCCACAACTCGGCCACGAACCAGCACGGTGGGCTGCACACACTTCTGACAACTGCACTGTTTCACCGCTCGTATGGGGAGTTTGTAGGTACCACAGTCAATGTTTCGACTCTCCATTTCCTGGACACCGCAGCAGAATCCAGCTCTGTCTCTGCACCGCATGTCAAAGTCGAGGGATCCCGGGCATTTGTTGTGAGGGCATCGACCGGCATTGTAGTACTTGGAGTGAGTGCCAGGTTGAACGCAGTCCATTGGCAATCTGATGAGGTGCGTTTCGGGAGTGGCATTGCATGCCGGCGATCCGTTAGCTGTGAATTAGATTATATTCAGCGTTAAAATGCGTGTCATAATATTGAGAGGCAGTCCTCACAACTCAAATGTTATAGAGATGAACGCCTCAATTACAACGGTTTCAGTTTCTTCATTTGCTAGCATCTGACAGACGTTCTGTTAGGAATGAGATACAAGACCTAAAATGATAAAATAAAATTAATGGACGTGTTTACATCCATAATGGTTATTTGAACTGCAAAGAAAGTCATATAACCTATTCAGTAGTGCGCACACAGAAAATTGCTTCTTGTCATCTAACCAGGAGAGTGAAGCATGGATTAGATTCCAATTACATGTATTTAGAGATCATTTAAATTGAATGAAAAATGAAACAGTAATTTTTTATCTAGATACTTGAAATATAATTACTGCACTTGATATCCTGAAATTCAAGCAGTCAAGCATCCTCTTTTTAGGTACCCCTCAATTTCCAAATAATTGATGGATGCAGCAAGACAAGATAAGCTTCCTTTGGCATATGATCATGTAAATGCTGCATTTCTGCCATTTTTCCTAATATGAGAACTGTCTAACTGATTCTGTGTGATAAATTCAAGGATTCATGTGGGCCACAAAAGGTTTGGGGGGTTTTAGCTGTTTATTTCACTTATGTCTTGAGCCAGCTCTGACTATGATTAACATACTTTATTAGTACTTAAATTAAAAATGTAAACACAAGGACAAATGGTTTATCTCAAGACTAGTACATGTACTTCTCCTCTGAGGTGGAGATGTTATTCTTCTCGCATGCTGGAGTCTCCTGTGACAATGAACTTTGGGCTGCAGGGATTTGTTTGTTGCCTGAGGGAAATTGCTTTGTCTTCTGCCTTACCTGACAAGAACCATGGAGAATAGGCTCTATCTGCAGTGCTGTAAAAATGTATTTGCTCCCTTTTGGATTTCTACTGTTTTAACTTTGAAGGTTTGAAGGTAAATACAAAGCGGTTTTTCAAATTCCGTTTTCATTTTTCATGGGAAAACTAAACCCTGCATGAGAGAGCCGTCAGTTCTCTTGTATAATCTCTAATTAATTATGATTTACCACATTCTTTGATTTAATTTCACAAATCCCACCAAGGTATAACTACTCTAATGTGAAGATTTAAGAATTCACTTTAACAGAACTTGTTTGACAGCATGAAGTCAAGTAAAATATATGATAAAGCAACACAAGAACAAATTAGAAAAAAAATGGCTGATATCCACAAGTCTACAAAGTCATTTCTAAGATTTTGGGACTGAAGTGAACCATTGTGAGAACCATTGTTGACAAACGGGGAAAACATGGAGCAGTGGTGAACCTTCTCAGAAGTTGCGATAACAATGATACAAAGCAAATTAGAAAGCTCTAGAATTTAGTTATAGAAATGCAAACATCAGAATCTAGACCTTGAATTGCTTTGTTAATAAAATAGTCCTTTATTAAACCCACACTGAGGAAATTCTCCTTGTTACAGCAGTAAAGTAACAAAATAAACCCAACTGAATATAACATGCATCCAACAGCAATATAAACAACTGCATTAAAATAAAGTACCTACAGATAAAATTAAATTAAAGTTAAACAGAAACCTGAAAATGTGGAGATTTTTAAATGCACAATAAATAAATGAAGAATATGTTACGCTAATGGTGGCATCATGTTGGTGTAGCTCTGTTACATTACATTACTGGTATGTGCTGTTAGAGACCTTTGTTCATAATTTATTTGGTCCAGACATTGAATGTCTGAACAATTATTCCCTTTGCAACTGGACACTGTGCAGCTGGAAAGACTTTTTGCATTTTCTTAAACTTCCAGACGGTTGCTATGATGCATAACTGTGGCTACAACATATTGTTTTTACAACCGAGAGCAGCTGATTAGCATCTCAAAAGCCCAAATAATCCTTGAACTCCTAACCCAAATCCCAGACGGGTTGGAAAGGAGGCTTTGAGTGGGAAGCTAAAAGCGTCTCTTCCAACAACCATAACGGGAAAGGATCATATCCTCGACTCCAACGCCTCTTTACCCGGCTTCCTAACCATTCGGCCAGACAAATATTTAAAGAGGAGTGGCAAAACCAAATGAGGTGGATTAGTAGTGCTTGCCAACAACTGACGGTATCATCCAGGACATTTCACTGTGGAATATTATCTGCTGCCTGGAAACTGATCTATCATACAGCAACAGCCTTCTGGTGCAATGGTGGTGTCGGTGTTAGGTGTTCATCCCATAATCGGTGGGTTTCTGGTTTGAGTCGCTGTTCCATCCGTCTCCTTTGTTGTGTTCTTGGCGAGACACTTCGCCTGTCTCGCCTGCTGGTGGTGGTCACTGATGGAGCTGGTGTGTGGTGGTCTTGTTTCTGTCAGACTGCTCCAGGACAGCTGTGGTTGCAAACCAGTAGCTTGCCACCATCAGTGTGTGAAGCGCTTTGGGGTCGTCTGGATTTGATCAATTGCTATACAAGTACAGGCAATTTACCGTTCAGTTAAAAGCCTCTTCATATCTGTTGCAAGACTGACTGCTACTGGAGATCTTTTCTGCCCACGACATCACCATCCAACCACTATTTGAAGATACTTGGATGATAAAACAACGTATAATTTCCCTTTGGAATAAATATTCTGAATTGAACCGAAGACCTCCTTTGAATAGCTCAAAAAGAGTCAAATTACAGTTCTGGACCGACTTGGTAAAATGTTCAGACTTGTATCTTATTGAGATGTGGAGGGACAGTGAAAATCCTTCAATATGGCAAAAGTGAGCTGAAAGTCCTTCACACCAGCGTAACACTTACTGCCCGTTGTTAGAAATGTTTGATAGCAGGTATTGTCTTTAAGGGTAGCATCTACAGTTAGTAGGTCAAAGAAAATAAAACTAGTTTAAGGGGTAATTTGTTTCATATACATCTTTTTTTTTGCTTTCTTAAATTAAATCATCTTTTTAAAATCACTCTCTTTCTGTTTATCAGGTTGTCATTATCTGGTATAAAAAAATTGCTTGACTGTATAAAATGTGAAACAAAAATTTAAAACAGCAGCATATAAAATGCAAGGGGGCAAACACTGTTTCACTGCACTGTAGTTCTCCCTCCTTAATGTGGCTAAATTGTGTTGCTTGATGGAGAGAGGAACATTCAGAGCTTAGTTTATGCACCACATGTTGGAGAAAACCTGCCGTCTGGGGTTTTCCGTACCCAGAGCCACTTCAAATAAAAAAATCCATCATGAGACGACTGTATTTCAAACAAATGTAAACAAAATAAAACCTAATCCCTTAGCTCAGTTAGATTTCCCTGCTATTTTTACTTTCTTTTGCTTTTTTTCCACTTTATGCAAACCGACTTCTGTCTTTCCTGGGGTTTTCGAGCACTGGGGTTTTTATGTGATTCTTCTTAATGCATGGACATGGCTCATGGATGACTTGAACGTAGCCCAGGTCTGGCATTCCTCTCAAAGGGTGTATTCAATTTTAGCAGCGGCTGTTTTTTATACAGTCAAATTATTTGTAGTTGTTTGGTTTCTGTCAGTGGTTTTACTTGAGCCTGTGGAAAATTCAGTACGTCATTGTCAAATGCACCGGGATAAGAGTCATCCTGAGTCATAATCCCACCTAGCATCTCGCCATCATTGTGTCAAAAATGTTTTCCTTTGGAGCTGATAAAGAGGAAATTGGCTTCTTAATGGGAAAACAATGTTGCATCTATGATAAACCTGTTTCACCTGCATGCAACAACAAATCGGTTCTTTTAGCGGAAAATGTTGTGTGTTGCTTTCACATCAGTGATTTCACTGATGATAAAAAGACAATTTGAAAAGAATAAAAACTAGCTTGAATTCATATTTGCATTTAGAAGAAAGACGTTTTCATTGTGAAACGAGGTTTTATGTTTTCCTTAAGTCTGTACATACCAATCACAGTAAGGTGAGCCGGGGACGACTTGATGCTGCCTGCAGCGTTGCTGGTTTTGCAGTAGTACTCCCCGGACTGCTCCAGCTTTAGGTCTCGTAGCACAAGGTCGTTTCCATACTTATACATGTTCTTATCCAGCAGTGTCCCATTGTGGTACCTGGTTTATTTTTATAGAAATGTAGAGACACAACGGACACAGATTACTTTAGGTTGTTTAGATTTTGCCTTCTTAATAAAGCTCATTAAGTCAGCACATACAATTCTTAGTGGAGGTGAAGGCTTCATGTTTTGTAAGTTTTTATTAATTAATGATTCTTACTACAAGTCTGGCTGGCCTAAAACTTTACTGTTTTAATTCAATCCAAATAAATTCAGTCCCTCCTGTTGTATGTGACCATATCCAATGAAATGAAAATGCTAACCAAGCACGTTCATTTGCGAATGTAATGCTCGACTGTGGTTAATTTTTTAGCATTTTTATTTGTTAATGCTTCTGCTGGACCAGGAAGAGAAATCTATCGGCACATCAGCTGTTAAACTGAAATCATTTAAACTCACAATTGTTTCTTAAAATCTCTACAGTTACTTTGTATGCACATTTCACACTGTGGTATTTATGACTCAGTTGGAAGAGTGGAGTTTTTTGCAATCTGGAAGTTGCAGGTTCAATTCCAGCTTCTCCCTGCCACATGTAGACGCACCCATTGGTACTTAAACCTGATCTGTGCATTGATGTGAGAGAGAGGTTGGATGAACGTGTCGAATTAAAAACACTTTGAATGGTTGGTACATCCAGAAAAGCATGATGAATGTTGCATAAACTCAGACCATTTAACATTTAATTCTGTATTTTTAGTGTGCCTTAGCTATTACATTTGATCTTTCGCAAAGCATGTTATTGTATTTGTTTTTAAAATCCTGTTTCAGTGTATTTCTACTTTGAAAAAAGACTCCTTCCTCTCACCCCTAACATACCATTGTGTGTTTTACTGCATAAACCTGCTGTTCTTCTTACCAGTAGTATTTGTCAGGAGCTGGTGATCCTGTAGCCGAGCAGCACAACAGCGCCCTTCCTCCCTCGTAACGCACTTTGTCTTCTGGGTGCTTCACGATGTACGGCTTTTCTGCGGAAGGTGTAAAAGCACAAATCTTAAACACCTGTTTTCTGTGCGTGGTGAGACAGAAGCTACAGAGCTCTTAAAACTCAGCCCGACACGCACTTTGTTCTCACATTGGTCTCTGGGCTTTTAAAAACTTGTTGCTGAGGGAATTACAGTCTCAAAGCAGCGCAGTTCTAATATTATTGGGTTTCTTCACAACTATGTAGGTGGTCTGGGCTTGACTTTGTGGTATTTTATTTGTCTGAAAGTAGGATTTGCCCAGTAAAAACAATCAGCATCAGGAAATGTTTTCTTATCCAACGACACCTACTCAAATCTATCTGCTCCATCTACTGGCACTCACCAGCTGACGTGAGGACGGCCCGCAGCCAGGAAATCCCTGTGGCGTTACTGGAAGCAGAGACGACCGCTGGCACAAACTTCTCCTTGTTGATGGCAATGGAGGTGGAGCCGGAGGAGCAGACTCCCGATAGAGTGAACTGCCCTTTCACGTCTGTAAGAGTCCGGATCACTTTGGGGTGGCTGGTCAGAGCCACGCTGGCCCCCGCCACAGGGACTCCGGTCACGGTCTGGATGTCTCCGAACAGCATGTGGCCTTCACACACACAAATGCTGCAGTCCTCACTGGGATGGCCTTCGGAGCACGTCAGCTTGCACGTGGCTGTTGTTAAGTCATACAGTACGTAAAGTGTGAGAAATGTGCTGAAGAATAGAAATGTAAAACATCTGGAATCACAGTGTCAAAGAAAATGTATGGTTTACGGTTAGTAATAACATTGTTTCTATGTCTTAAAGTCATTCCAATGAGAGAGGAATGCAGCTGCTGCTGCATAGCGCTGGTCAGCTGGCTGAAAGAAAGTTCTTTGACATTTCCCTTATTTACAAAAAAAAGAAAAAACAAGTTTACTTCAATGGAAATGTTTTTAATTACGAAAAAACACATACAGTCATGGCATGGAAGCTAATAGAGGACGATCCATCACTCTCATAAGGGCGATACAAATTGAAAACTACAATTAGAAATGGTTTGGTTACTCAATAACATAGTCAAATCAGTTAATTATGACTGTATATGGTCAACCTCTTTTGAGTAAAAATCTAAAATGTGATAATGTTATGCATATTTGTCAATACCACAATAATATGGGTTTATAGTAACAAACTGTCAGTCATATCAAGATTCTTATTTTTACTTGGTTTGTATTTCACATGGTCAGGTGCACCTCAGCTGGACAGCTTTATTAAAAGTGAGCAGCTTGGCAGTCATCATAGCAGCTTATTGTTTGGGGCTTGTTGCAAGATGTGGGCCTGGAAATGGTTTGGTTTTAAGAGGGAGGATTTCAGAGGAAAAGTTCCATTCTGCCAAGTGGATGAAAAAGCATTATTTGTGCAAAACGTTGCCACAACAAACGAGCTTCGTTTCCCCTAACTAGCAAAAACTCCTGACTACTTCTTGGAGAAAGCCTGCAGTATTTTCTGGACTTGTGCACAGCGTCGATTGTTGTGCTCGACCTGAATGAAGTGCTGGCATGTCAGTGACTACAACAAGGTCCCACGGCTTTAATAACAACAGAGTCAGTGTGCTCCCAATTAACAACTGTAAACATATATATATATATATATATATATATTATCAGACAGTCTGCTGCTGTCGTTTCGTCCAATTTCTTGACTTCTGGCAGCACCAAACCCTTAAAAACAATGTTTTATTTGCTGCTGCATTTTAGCAACAGTTTGGTAACTTAAACAAACCCAGAAGATCATTTGTTTCCCTTTTTCATTCCTGTTAGAAACATGCCCAGCTCCTATTACTGAAATAAATATATATATATATATATATATATATATATATATATATATATATATATATATATATATATATATATATATATATATATATATATATATATATTGAAGTCAAACGGACTGTCAATTGCATAAGGTTTCGAAAATATTTTTATAAGAAATGAACTTATTTGAAATGTGAATATTACATAATTAGCCTCAGGAAGGTTTTTCCCACTTGGGATGACATAATAATACTTTATTATTTGTTCTGTTTCTTGCTTTTTTATGGACCATAATTGTGTCTAAATAAATAGGATTGACTGATTTATAGTTTTTAAAAAGTCAATTTTTATCTCAATTTCAGAGTAGAACTGTGTTGTTTGACTTTTTAAAAAAAAATTGTAGAGATTTTGCTGGGGTTTTCTCCTGTTTAAAAGTGATCTTTTAACATAAAATCGTGTAAAGACATTTTATACAATATCGAAAACAGTCGGAGCTTACCAGGACATCGACTTCTTCCACATTTCTGGACCTCAGCAGGTCGTCCTGGACATTGCACCGTCTCTGAGGTTCTCACACAAGTTCGTCTCCTTGTCCTGCGACCTCCACCGCAAGTCACTGAACAACTCCCCCAGGAGCCCCAAGGACTCCACTTGGCTACATAAGAAACGGGCGATTAGAGGGATTTGTAGTACTTTATTTTCAGTAAATTCTTTCGGTACTTTTGCCAGTCATTCATTGGTGTTCGCTGGCTGAAAACACTTTGCTACAATCTGTTGTATCTTGAGCATTAAGCTGATTATAACTCCAGTTGAAGTACTAATATCACGGACGATTACTCGAAGTAAAGTCTGTCAGCTTTTTTTTTAGAAGCATACCACTCAAAAGGGATAGTCAACAGAGCGTGTAAAAGCACTTTTGAACGCTAAAGATAAAGGGAACAACAATATGCTGCATTGACAGTGTTACGGTTTAACCTGCCGATGAATCACACAGTCTCATTTCAGACTAAATCACAAACCCAAATCCATTTTGGCTTCTCTAAATGGCTCAGTAATTTTGGCCAGGTGTAAGGATAATCCTCGTCACAGCTGACTGACCTGCGCACGGTGGAGTGGAGCACTCCCTCCTCTCCGCATGGTGTCCTATACATGCTGGTACGAACAAAAGCGGCATAGGCTGAGCGCTCACACATTTCCTCTGCCGAACTTGGATTCCCACATCATTGCAAACCGTGGTGGAGCAGGGACCCCACTCACTCCAGTCGGTCCAGTAGCTCTGCACTGCGCACACAACAGATCTCAAGATTTCAAATCACTCACCAATTTCTGTACCAGAAAAAGCCAGTTATGTGACAAGTTATAATATAACATCACACGTTTGAGTGACAGCTTGCGCCGCAACAAGCTGCTCTTATGGGGGGACTACCTGGAGGACACTGAAAGCGAACATGGTAGTTGGAACAGACTCGACCGTACGGCTGTTCTTTGTTGATGCACCAGAAGCCCTTCTCCAAACTGGAGTGGACCACTTCACCGGTGTCTGCAGCTGCCACCCAGTCTGTGGTGCGGGCCTCCATGGCCGTGGGCCGAGCGCAAACCCGCTCCCTGTAGTAGAAACGAATTGCTTCTAGGCGCTCGTAGTCTCCATTCCCACCAGGATGGTCGATGTTGAACCAAGACGTCCACTCAGTCACACCTGGGAACGCGCAGAGAGAACTGATGGAAACCAACTGTTTGAAAAGAAATGTTTAGAAAAGCACCATCCAATCTAAAGAAGCAGGAATACTTCACTCACAAAAGTGCATTTGTTTTTGATTAGTTGCTGTTTTTTTTTTTATTTTTGTTGTTGTAACAGTGCCTCTTTAGCAATAAATCATAAACCGCCAGAGAGCATGTTCCCCTTCAAACATAAGAAAAATCAATATGAGGGCTGAGCAGCGAAATTGAGTATGAGGTACGGGTTGTGTAAAACTTGCCAGATCCTTTCTGCCAATTCTGTTCACGTTATTCAGCTAATGACTCTTGTTTTGTGTTGCCTAGTGGATTGGATGGTAGGAATTTGGCAAAACATACATTCGCAGCATAACAATTTATTCATGTCTCAAAGGAGGGCCTTAGTTGGTTATGAGAGAACAATAAACAACCACAACAGCCGGCTACTTTCTTCTCACCCGCTGCTGTGAGAAGGCATCCAGGCCTTTAACCAGTGTTTGCGTCAAATCACCCAGTGTGTACGTGTTGTTCAGTCTGGCACAAACAGCGTATATCTAAGGTGATTGTAGGGTTGAGATGAGGACTGCATGCAGGCAACTCCATTCACTGTAGATTTGGGAAGTTTTTCATCAGCTCAACATTTAAAGAAAAATAATCAGGCTATTTAGTGCAATAACATCTATTTTCAAGAAGCACTATTACAAAAAAAATATATATAACACAATTTTCCTTTCTTTTGTGCAAAAATTGACTTGGGCTTAGTATGTAATGTTTTGTTTTTCTACTCTGTGGCGTATAGAGTGAACCCTTAAGAATTGTTCAAAGAAAACGTAAGGAATAAAAGCAATGGACTTCCTAATAAACATAGTTTAAACAAATTATTCCATGCCATAAAAAATGATCTTTCAAAAGAAAGAAAAAATCGGAATGTTGAAAAAAAGGAAAACTCTTTGTAGATGTTTAAAAATGTGCAGTCCTTAAAGATGACAGTACGCTGGGGATTAGTTAAATTTGAAATGAACAGTGAGAAAATCTCATGTCTTTTAGAGCCTTGTGTTATTTCATGCAGGCGTGAAGTTAATGTTTGACGCAAGTGGATTTCCTTCCAATTATTGTCGTCTTCAATCAGTGCCACGCAGGGAGGAGTCCTAATAAAAGAGCAATTGTTCCTTTCTTCTCATGCTCACTGCAGGTTTGTCGCTGCTAATAAGACATATTTGGTGAAGTGTTCCCTGGGCGTAGATTTTAAGCCACTGGCTGCTTACTTTTGCAGGAAATTAGTGCCATTAAAAATGTGCTGAGCTGACTTTTAGCCTTTTCAGCTTGTGATGGAGTCGTGAACATCAAGTGAAGCAAGTAAAAAGTGTTTGGATTTGCAGCAGCCCTGTGAAAAGTACTGGTAATTTTAGAGTTTTATGTAAATTTTCACATTAGTGAAAATGGGAAGGTCTGCTCCCAGATGGTGCGTGCTGAACCACTTGTTAAAAATACCAAACCCACGAAAAGATTTTGAGATTAAGTGCATAAATGTCTTTACAGATTTCAAACAAGAAGATGTTGGAGATATGTTTTATGTAAAAAAAAAAAAAAAAAAAAAAAAAAAAAATTTTTTAAAAAACTGCCATGATACCTGTTGTTTGTGAGTCCGTGAACGTATTGAAAACCACTCTTTTGCTCCTGTCTGATGGGTTCCTGGTCCTTAATAATCCTGCACACAAAGTAAAAGAATAAAAAAAACATTACATCAATACCCCAACATACCCCAATATATCATGAAGCCCTATTGGTCCCTTGTACATCAACAGATGTACCCTCAATAAATTAACTCTTTATTAGTTAAAATTCTTTATTTTTTTCTTTATGTTTATAAAAACCAATGATAGGACATTCAGAAATACCCCAGGGTAAAACAAAGTAAGCATAGCAGTGATTCTTTTTTTTTTTTTTTGTAACTGTAACTCCTTTAAAATTATACTTACGACATTGCTGAAAGAAAAAGGGTCATTTTGGATTCTTATGAAGAATTTTCAATTCCATCAAACCAGTGCTCAGATATGTATCAAACTGGAAATTGTTATAAAAAAAACTGTGTTGGAAAAAATTGTTTATTTGTGGAAATATATTATTTCTTTTCTGCTTATTTTTTATTTTTTATTTATTTTTTTGCTGTCTAACAAATATTTTGATGCCAAAAGTTATGTATTTTGCCATTCATTACAAACCTATGCAAATTAGCTATCTTAAGCAACATTAACACATTTCATTTTTTTTACTACATTTATACACATAAATGCAGCAATTATTACACGTCTCAGACTTTGCTGTTTCATAACGTCTTGTTTCTGTGCCAGTAGTGTAATAAATAAGAACAACACATGAAATATGATGTTTCTGGCTCTTTGATTTATTAAATGAGACTCGGTGACATTTTCTTCCATGCCATAATGTGTAATGATTCATTTATTCTCCACCACTAATTTTTAATGTTGCAAAAGACGTCAATTGTTTGGGTTATATTTGGGCCACTAGAAAGAAAAAAACAAATGTCATGGTGCGTGACGGAAACAAAAAGTTACTTATGCTGCCTCTCACCATGTATACGAGCGCACGCGCATGTGTGTGTGTGTGTGTGTGTGTGTGCGTGTGTGTGCGTGTGTGTGTGCGTGTGTATTAGGCACAATCCCTGCTGAGTTTATGAGCAGAGAATCCCAGCTCATTAACTAGTATTGATCGATGTCCCTTCTGGTTTTATAGCATGCTTCAGCTCTTTATTATCATGCCAGCTCTTTTGGTTCAACCATTAAAACCTTTTAGTAACATTTCTGGATGTTAGGAATTGCATAATGTACTCTTTTAGGCTGGCCTGGGTAGGCAGCTGGTGCTCTTGTTTTTTTCTTTCTTTTTTTTTTTTTAATTTAGTTTTTAAAAAGCCATTGTACGCTTTCCATATGGCTTTGTGTCTCTGAACTACTGGGTTGACTTGAGAACCACAGTGAAATGCCTTCAGATTGATGTGTTCAGCAGCTGTGTCTGCTGCCTGCAGATTTAGTTCAGTGGGTGGAATCAAATACTTTCCCCATCGTTCTTTTTCTGCAGTGATTTGTATGTCGTTATTGCATTCCTACACACATGCTCGCTGATTACCAACACTATGTATGTATTGGTCTTTGCTGATTTAACAAGTGCTTGCAGGATGCATGACACATTTTCTTCCCTCTGCGATACTGTAGCTCAGAATACATAAACAACTTTTCACTTAGCTTATTAGCTCGGAGACCCAGACCCGCGGCCATTAATGATCCTTTCAACTCCGCACGCAGTCTTGTTTCCAAGAAATCCTAAAGAAGCATTTCTGCCTGTTACATAACAGCGCTACTCCCCCTCACACCAACTCCAAGTTAATTTACGGCCAAGTTCTTGGCCCCCTGATTATTGTTTCAAGATGTTTCACATTGAAAACCAAACACCAAAACAAGTCTTCTGGTTTTACAAGGTGTCTGATAGTTTTAGGAAAGTTAAGAGGGGAAACACAATTAGGTGCAGCAGAAAGGCAATTGTTGGAGTGCTGACCTCACTCATGGCAGGTATATGATCTGGCCCAGTGCGCCGGGATCTTTGCGCTTTTGACTGACATATTAACACTTTTTAAAGGCCACAGGCTTTTCGCAGGGCTACTGCTTCATGTGGCTGGTATGTGAGCGAATTAACCTCATCAAGAAGCAAGTAGCACATGCTTTTCAAACCCCAGGGAGAAATGTTACAATTTATGATTTCCTATTTGCCGCTTCAGGCTCACACGTACTCGGGTGTCCTGTGCATATTTTGTGAGCCGTGCAGATTCTACATGAAACCCGCGTGCACTGTCCACAGACGGTTGAGATTTCACGGTCAAGCGTTACTGGTTTCCTATATTTCTCGTGACAAATTCCTTCATTTTCCACGATTCAACTCTTCCTTATTCAGTGTCTGAGTTATTTCCTCCCAAGTATTTTTCCATCTCTGAAAGTCCTTGTGTTCTCTGATTGGTGTATCTTGCAAATTTTTGTTCTAATTTCTTAAGACACCCTTCAATATTGGACTCCATTTCATCCACAAGATGGCACCGATTCTCAACTTTATCAGCTCGGAGAAGCACACGCAATAGTTCGATGAAAACATTGTTTCCTGCCGAACTTTTTGCTACGGTTCGCTCTCCGACACGTACTCATGGAGGTGCCTCGCCACTGAAGTATATCTTGTCTGCTCTTTTTCATTTGTGCTTTTAGGATACTTTTAATTTATTTAACTTTGGGAACATATTCAAAATGTCTTCGGACACCACTTTTTGTAGGACTATTAAAAGATCCGTGCTGCGTTTATATTAAGGGCAATTTGGGTTCACTTTTTTTTGGATTAGGGACAAATATTGGTTATGGAAATGAAAGATGAAGGTTATTTTGCAATGACATTTGGTATGTTCACTTAAAGTACCTCAGGTGGCCTAAACATCCATAGTCAAATGACCCTAAGCAAACATTGATTAGGTAACAAGATACATCAGCATCACCAACAATGCAAAGTTGTTTCAGGTTTCACTGGTGACAGAAGGACGGCTGCAAAACACCAAACAACATAATTTTTAGCAACCGGATTTCTTCTAAGTGTGGATTCATGTTGAGCCACAGAGCCTATTGTTGTTTTTTACCAACTATACATCATAGTGGTTTACGGCTTGGCTGGACCCAGGCACATCTTCCATTCGTAATCGTCTGTGACTTTGTGAAGATTTGCTTTCATTCATTTTTTGAGAGGGAGTTTCCAGTGTTTGTATTATGTTGAAAGAAAAGAAAAGAAGAAAAAAAATCTCCCAAGGAGAGAAAATGAAAGACTTTTTTTTTAAAATTGCACCCAGAATGTTTTCACTCATATTGGGGAGGTATGTCTTTGCCAGATGTAAGCTGGCAGACAGACAAGACCTAAATAGGTGGTCTGGATTCTATATATAATACTAAAAATCCCTACATGATGCAGAAAATTAAACACAATAACTACTCTTGAACTGAAAAAAGTCCTACTTGGTGAATCTGTTTGTACAAAAGTGTTTTATGTTCGACTCGAGAGTGATTTGTCTGTGTGAGCCTGTGCATGCAATGCTCTGTTTATGTTTTCATATGAGAGTTGTTTATGCACTTGTACAGAGAAGAGAGGAATGCCAGGGGCTCCAACTCTCTCATGTGACAGAGAAAGGACCAAGGACAAGGCTATTTAACAGTAAAAACACAAATAAGGCATTTTATATGGAGAGAGATAAAAATGTTCTTAGCATAGCATAAATGAAGTTGGCATAGCACAATAAAAGAGGAAGGTAGAAATAGAAATACAGCTGAAATCGACTGAATTTCCAGCATTGTAGCACAGCTAGCATCTGTGTTAAGTTAGAAAAGCAGTAGTTTTAATCTCCTGAGTCTTATCGCCGTAGCTAGACAGCTACCATAGCCAACTAGCATCCTGTTCACGTCTTGGAAACACATAAAACCGGGTGACAATCAAACATTCCTACCAAAGAAACAGCACCTGTGCATTTTGAGCAATCGTAAACGCTTTTCCGATTACAGACAAAGCGATGAGTTTTTTAATTTACTGCAAGTCATCACAAAAACAGATTATAAAAATACAGAAGTTATATCAGAAGGCATAGTTATTCAACCCCATCCTAACTCCCCAGCTGCCCATATCACTTCATATCAGGTCAGACTCTGTTAATATTTCACATGGGAAAAGTAGAAGGCTGTTTTTAAAACACCATCAGAACTGGTGCTTTGGCCAGACCCAGGTTTGAACTTGCTGCTAATTCTTCTCTGGATGTGAGATCTACTTTTAAAAAATGTCCCAACTGCTTGAAAACACTGTTTCCCATTCACATTCAACTGCAAATAAAGCTAGACAGCAACTGTCAATCTTACCGCTTGACTGGATACATTTTTTTAATTACTTAAAATTAGGTATTCAGTGAACACTGTATTGTTTTTTGCTGATTTGAAACAGCTGGGAGGTGTTTAAAAGTTCAGCTGCTCACATTGTTTAAGAGGTTCAAGTTTTAACCTCTGGTCAAAACAGTGAAATAGCTGAACTAAAGCAGCTTCACATATGTTCTGGACACGTGTGGGTGTGTGTGTGTGTGTGTATGGGAAAATGAAAATATTGAATTTAAAAATGCGACACAGAACTAAATAAATTAATGTGAATTTATTTATATTTCTTTGATCCACTGACGTCCTCGTCTCAGTCATTTAATTCATCTGGCCAGACGGCTTTGTGTTTGGAACAGACAGTGGTCAGCATCTGGAGAAGTAGCCCTGGTGTCTGCCTAAAGTTATGTGGAGAGGAGAGAGGACTGGAAGATTCATGTGAAGGGGTGGTAGTTCCAGAGCAACTCCTCTAATACGGTGGGCATTCAGCAACAGCTGCCACCTTTAAATAGAAAAAATAGGCCATAAATCTCCGCGGTTTAGGGGGGATGGAGAGAGTGACAGAGAACAAAGCCAGGATAGTGTTTGATGGAGCAGGACGGAGGAATAAGTAGAGAAAGGTGAAGGGCAGAATTTGATGGAGTGAGGAAAAAGAAGAGAAAAAAGGTGGGGAAAGTATTTGTGAGAAATACCTGAAGCAGAGACAGATCAGAAACAAAGGGAGAGCAGATGAAGACGAACAGACAGATGGAGACGTTCTGCAAAGTCATTGCTGCAGCAGCAGAACGGATCGCATGAAACGTTCGGCAAGCTGGCCGCTTCAGCAAAGTTGGAAAACAGGACGCTAAAGCCATTTTACCTGTGCTCCTTCACTTCCCCCCTTATTCCATTTTCTCAGTTAGGAAAGTACAAAGCCAGCAGATGTGTATAAAAAAAAAAAAAAAAATGGGCCACTTGCTTTGTGATCGTTGCACCTTGTTTCCAAGGTGACCGGGTTTATGTCTTTGGGGACGGCCTGCCTGCGCCGCGTTCGAGAGTGAAATAAGGCCAAGACGTACCACCTTCTCACAAGATGTGGGGATGTACCGCTAAAGAAGCGTGGCATAAAACCTAAAAGTTTATTATCCATTTTAGGGTCAGAGTGTTCTGCTCAGTCAAGATCAATGTGAACAACCGTTTATAAATCTTCTTTCTCCGTCGGCTGGTCTTGTGATTTACTCATCAGTATATGGCACAAACCCCTCTGCCAGACATTTACGACTCGAAGGCCTCAAAGTCCCACAAGATGTGGAGACTATTATGGTCTATTCACACTCGATTGCCTTTATGAACTGCCAGCGCCTTCACAAAAAAATATATATATATAATAATAATAATGGAAAACAGATGTAAGGAGGATAGAAAGTGACACTCGGGAAGAGAGGTGAGCTTTCAAAGCAGCAGGAGGTGAGATTTGCGGGAGAGCACTTGTGATGTTCGTGTGTTAAGTGGTAATTGTAATTGTCAGATGCAATCAAGCTGGACCAAAGACCAGGAAAAACTGAACAACAGCAGGAAGTGACGTAACGACGTGTTTAGGCACGAGATCGCAACGCCACAATTCTCCTCATGAGTGCGAAGCCTCACCATGGTGGCAGCTTTGTCTGGTTGCTGGCACCGTGTGACTTGGCCTGGTAAAGTAAGCTCAAGCTATTTTTATGAGACCTGGAAATTGATGTGAGAGCTTTACACTTGTAACTGTATGCTTATGTTTGACAGACTTTAATTTGGAGTAAGAGGGTAGGCAATTATTCTCAGTCTGACCTGTTGTCTTAACGGAGTCAGATAATAAATACTTCGGTGAGCTGACTGACAGCAAAGGCAATGAATAAGACCCAACATTCTGCAGAAACAGATACATAAAGACAGACGAGACATAAATAGTTTGCAATCACCTTGAGAACAGCTTTTGATATCTTACACACAAGAAGTTGGTCTCTGCTTCAGAGCTTCCTATTGCTCCTAGGTTTTAGACGTTTTTTCAAATAAATTCGGACCAGATCTGATCAACCCTGGTTTAAGTCCAAAGTATTTTGACTAATCGAAGCTAAACTGAATGATTCGACACTGAACGGAGATTTTTCAAAATACAGTTTAGGATTTATGTGACCATTTTTCTATGCGATTTGCGATGCTTTTTGGCATTAAAATATGACAGCCATCGACACCACAAAAGGTTGCTTTGTCTAATCCGCACAGGAGCGTTCTAAAGTGATTGCATTATTACTTCCTCAAATCTCGTTAAATTAATCTCTCTTACTGTTTTTGTGAACCCAGATATCGAGTTTTGTCCCATTTGGTGAGCTGACTGTGCCCCTAGTTACAAAAGAGGTAGGTGTCAAATGATAACGTTTGGTGAAGTTTTGTCTATTTTTCCACACGATTGTTTTTTTTTTTTTTCAACATTTACGACTGCCTGCCATATCCCACACGATCGTACGTTTTATTATGAACGAGTGAGCAGGACAGAGCTGAGATTGTGTTTTGTATTTTGGGATGGTAAGGGAAAAAAAAGCATGACGCAGCAGCTGTTTGGTTGGGTCATGTAATGTAATGTTTACTGCTTGTCTCATAATTGGTTACTCTATTATGTTTTTATGGTGTAAAGTCCTTTGAATTGCCTTGTTGCTGAAATGTGTTATACACTAAAGCCTGTCTTCTTTGTTTGCGCTTTTTTTTTTTTTTTAACTGTGAGTTAAACCACAAGGCAAGTTTTAATGATCCCCTCATTCATCCCCACATGTCGCTAATCGCACTGGGGTTGAAACCAGCTTTTTGTTTTCACACGAGCAATTAAGGGCAAATGAGGAGAGTAATGAATGTGACCACAGAGTCCAATACTGTCTCTCTGAAAGAATGTAAATAACTTTCACAAATTTCCCTGCAGATCTCCACAGCCGTTATTACCCATCTGAATATCTAAACTGTCTTAACTGGACAATCGTTTGCTCTTGATTTGTTTACATGAACATGTCTGATGCTTTTAATTCTTAATGTATAAGCTTACAGGTTCACAGTTCAATCTGGGACACACACACACACACACACACAAAGTTTATCTCATCGTCCTCCAGACATTTTGTCTGAAGCAGTCCTGCCCTGACATCCTCGAGGGAATGCCGTTAAGTCGGAAAAACCTCTACAGTCTCTCTCGGTTGGTCCGCACATGTGAGCGGTGTCGTAAACCGTCTGTTGTTGTTTATTATGAGACATGACAAGGAGATGAAAAATGTTTAACCCCAAAGTTTTTTTTTTTTTTCTGCTTCCCAGCACTGTTTTCTTTTACGTTTCTTCATCTTTTAACTTTCAGTGATAACAAATGCATAAAAAAAAAAAGTTAAATCAGTCTTCTCTTACCTTGACCTAGAGCCACTGAGGCCAGAAAAGAGAGCAGTAGTGGCAGCTTAGTTAATTCCAACATTGTGCTGATGGTGTGATCACGGAGTCGTCATGGATACGAGATGAAGAAGAAGCAAACAACTGGTTCTGCTGCACTTGGTCAGGGGAAGTGGGCTTCGGATCCTCAGGTGTGGGTGATGCTGCCGGTCCTGCAGAGTCTCGCCGTGTCTCCTCCTCGTGTGGGTTGGAGACAGGAGCTTTTTAAAAGAAGGGGCATCAGGAGTGCACACCAATCCAGCCCCTCTCTCTTTACCATTGGTTAGTGGAATTTAACATCTGGGTCCCCCATATCATTGTCCAGAAAGAAAAAAAAAACGAAAAAAGAAACGACGAGGGCCTGCTCGGGGTAGAGGGGAGAAAGATGCACACAGTCAGTGGGCCAACAAACTAAGAGGTTTGCTTTCCCCTTTGTTCAAATCCATATCTCATATTTCATCTTTCTGACTCAACCGCAGCTTAATTTAGGAATTTGATCTTTTATTACTCGTGGGTCGAGCCTCCTTTGCAACAGAGTTGTTATATTTGTCCTGCGAACAGGTGTGTGCACATGTTTGTTTCCTTCTTTAAACTTCCATTCTGGTTCCTGTCTCTATCTTGTTAAACAGTGAAGCATTCTCTAAAATTAGATCATCCCAAAAAAGAATAATAATAATAATAATCTATGCTTATTATGATCTCATCTTGCTTTTTTTTTTAATGTACAAAATGGCTTCAATGCCCATCATTAAATATAGCTGTGGTCTGCTTAAGTATACATGAAGACTACATTTTCTTTAGTTGTCACTGTGGCTCGCTCTCACTGCCCCCATCTCCTCCACTCGCTCTCGCCACAGCCAGATGCTGCTGCTTCCCCCCCTCACCCTCCTCTGGTTCAACTTCTGGTTCAGTTTTGTAACTTTTTAACAGTTGCTGATTGCGCGGTGATGCACTGCCAGAGAGTGGAAGTGGCGTCATATGGCATGCCATTCAGGAAAAAGTCCTGAGAGCACAGACGCGAGACGTGCTTATGAGGTGCAATGTACGCGGGCTTGTTTTAAACACGTGTATTTGCTCGAGAAAGTGGTGGAAATTAAAAATACTAATTTAACTCAGCTCTTTTATAAATCCCAGTTGGCTTGACATTAAAACCGGGTTAAGCAGCAACAGCTGAAGGAATGCTTCCCCTGTTTTTAGCTTGACAAAAGTTAAAGAAAACGCAATAGTTGAATGTAGAAATGCAAAATGATGTTAACCGTTGAAGACTTTATTGCTAAATGAGTCCCAGATGGGCATCTGACTTGATTGTGGCTATTGTGTAGATAGTGTATAAATACCATTGTTTCATATGATTATGTGCGATAAACATAGTCTTCAAAAAATTCAATATTTTTCACTCAACCATGAATTTCCTTACTTTGAGAAAATAGGGAGCATGCTATTGTGTATGTGTACTTAATATCCCTAATGAATATGTTCCAAACTATGTGTGTAAAATATTTATAGAAAAACATAAAGTATGATTAGAAGTGTAAATAAACAGTTTACTGCAAAAGCTATCGCTGCATCTGAAATATGCGGCAGCCATGTTCGATTTTGAACTCTGCGTTAACGAGCTGACACGCCCACTTGGATTTTCTGCATCGTGTTTGTTTTTTTGATGAAAAAAAAATAAATTTGAGTCCTGTACAAAGCTGAAGATCACAGTTATAATGCTTTAACTAATATAATCAGCTATTTTCCAAAATAAAAACAAAACAAAAAAACAGAAGGGTAATCATGATAGGAGTGTCTTTAGAGTGTTGATTCCACCAAATACACATTCTGGTTAGCACCTTTGAATGTTTTATTTTTATTAAACACTGTATTGGCTTCTGCAAACAATTAAGAACAGCAGCCAAAATCAGATAAATGTTTATGTATGGTAGCCAAATTTAACAGACTATTAGATGAAGTGAATACTCTTGATCAATAATGACAAAACAATGCCCTGCCGGGAAGCTTTGGATCTTTCCATGACAGTGAATGGCACTTGGACGCGTGCAGCTCTCCTAAGTGTTGCAGCAGACGGAGTTCCCCGTATGGCAAAGTTATTCCTTTGAAAGCTGTTTCCATGACATTTCAGAGTTTTCCTTTTAGTCTTTCCAAACGACCTCTTCACAGATTTACTCAACATTAATCCTTATATATAGAAAAAATGTTTATAAATGTTTGCAACTGGACCAAATCAGTTAATGCTGAACCAAATACCACAAGATACAAAATGTCTGGATTAAAATGGTGAAAATGGGGTAAGGTTTACCTCGCCATGCACCTTATTATGGCTTATTTGATTCATTATGGTATTATTAGCACATTATTATGTGGAGTTTAAATCTCCTAGTCGAGGGGCAAAAGCTACAAATTATTTATTCTCCTGGTTGGCTAAAAGTTAAAAAGATTTTTTACTAAGCAAGATGGTGGTTTCTAATTGGACAGAAGACAACAAAAAAAATGTAAAAGATTATATAAAAAAATACCATGAAATTATTTATATCCTTCTCAATAATTGCTAAAAAAAAACCGTTTTCATCATTAGAGCAAACAAGCCCTCCTTGCTGATCGACTTTTTGACTGTTTCCATTTTGAAAATTTGTCACAGTGCCACAATATATTAAGATTTAGGCAAAAAGCTAAGTCTTTGACCAGTGAAATTTCTTACACAAATAAGACTCTGAATTAGCTCCTCCTTCAGCCAAACCACAGCCAATGAAAATGCAGGAAATCATCTAAATCCTGGCACAGGATTAACTTTCCATTGCAGTGTTTGAAATTATTTCTCTATTCTCTGCAGCAAGCAGGGGTTGCAGTTTACTGGACCTTGCATCAGAAGCAGAAGAAAACTTCTTCAAGGCGTATGGAGGTGAAATGACAAGCGCTTGTGTTGCCCCCAAAGCGACTTTCTGATGCCACCCTGGGCATCTACCCATATGTCCTATATCCAAACCCACCACGCACAGTCTGCTCCTAAACATTGGAAAACAGCTGCCGTTACATTTGACTGTATAAATTTATATCAATCAAGGACTCCGGTGTTTATTGCTCACCCTCTCTGGTGATGAGCACCACTGACACTGTAACGACAGACCCATTGTTGCCTGAGAGAGTCTTGGACGGACATTAAAGACTGGGCCACTGACAGTTCAGAGATATTTCCACAGCCATTTCCCAATTGCTTTGGACAGTGCGGAGTGAACAACATATAAACATTCCTTTTCACTGACTGCCTACACCCACTCACACATGTGCACACTCACCAGGCATTAGTGCATTAGTATGCTGAAGAAGCTCCTAAGGTTGTATAAATACACATTACCTCAGCCGTAAACAGCACAGGAACCTCCGTCTTAAGTCATTCTCACCGAAAGCTGCAGCGCTAGCCTCCACACGGACAGATCTTCTTCTTCTTGGGCTGATTATAGGCCGATCTCACCTGTTTACAGCTTATATTAACAAACCAAATCCAGTTGGGAGCAGAAAAAGGGGCGCAACCATATGAGTTCTTTTCAAGAAGCCCGGCTTTAATTGTTGCAATATGCTTCTGTTTCAAACTCAATGAATCAGTGGCCATTATTCAAACGCTCGAATGCACATTACTTCAATATCTGATTACTTCAGTGCTTGTGTTACTCTAGTCGGGTCCCCACATGGGGATAGGAGAGCAACCTAATTGAAGACTTACTGTGGCCTGCACCTGAATGTTTTTACGTTTTGTTACATCAGAACCACAAACTTCGACATCTGCTATTGATACTTTTGTGACAGACCTACACAAAGTTATTATGAATGCTGATAGAAAAAAATATTCGTAGTTTCCAAAGTTGTACAAACATATAAGTCCTTTTCACACTTTGACCCCTAAATATATGTTTTAATTTGAGTAAATACAACTGTGTTCCTCCACTTCAAAGTTGTGTGGTTGACTGTGTTGGTCTTTCGTGAAAACCAAAGATGAATAAATCTTGTAGTATATAAGCAAATGTACTGAATGAACATTCCAAATATTGTGTTGTTTAAAGTTAATATTGCCATCATTTACGTCTGTTTTTAGAGGCAGCTCTGAGAAAAACCCAAGTACATGTTTGAATTATTGTCATTATATTAGTGAAAAAAGTTAAAAACACCAGTCACGTTGCGCTTCCTGAAATTGGTCAGATTTTTTCTTTTTTTTTTTTTTATTGATCAACAAGAAATATCTGAACGTTTTGTAAAAGCAAAATGCATAACCAAAAGAACGTAGTGGCAAGTTTAAAAATGACCAAACAATCAAAAGAACACAAATATATATAGTTTTATATATTTATACCCAAAACGCCAACCTACACCACGTTATTTTAGCAGTACACTGAGGGAGAAGGGACCACAGAAGGAGTACATGAGAACATAAAAGCTTCGGGGTATCTTGGGGAAAAAAAAAAAAGAAAAAAAAAATCCAATGACTTTAATGATAGAAAACTTGTTTTTTTTGTTTGTTTTTTTCTTTGCCAATTCTGGAAACTGGAAAACGGTGGAATGCTACAGCTCTGACACGTCGACTGACAACAAACTCCTCATGCCATTTCCTAAACAGACACGACTCGAAGCCATTGCTCTAAGATTCATCCTTTTACAGCAGCTCAACAACACATTTGGCTAATGTGCATTTTGGATCTAAACAGCCGAGATGTTGACGTTAAATTACAGTAACAACCTATAAAATGCGACCGAGGGCAGAGTGGTTACACCAGCTCCCATGTTTCCGTGCGTTACAGTTCCAGGAGACAGTCCGTGCCAGCGTAGTCTGGGAGATTAAGCTCATATTTTTTCTGAATGTCATAGGGCAGGAAGCGTCCAGCCAAGAAATGCTTCCCAGAGAAGTTTAGCGCGCACTTCTTTGGTGCGATGAGTGAGATGAGAACTTCTGGGTTTATCCCATCCTGACTTGGTTCCTCTGCATCCCAACCTGGGGAAGACAAAATGTTAGTATTTGCATGAAAGTTGCTGAAGTCGAACTTTGATGAACACAGACTAAGCTAACAGCAACGCAAGATTTATTCTTCACGTCTGAAAGCAGACCTGGAAAACTCCGTTTTGGAAGCCAGGGTTCCCAGCTGGGTGCCCTGCGGCTCATTTATCCTGCTTTGTTTGTTGGCCTTAAGTCAGAAGCACATTATTAAAACCTTACCTGAGGGCACGTCCACACTGACAATGGGAATCTTGATTTGCTTTAGGGTGACCAGGATGCCAGAATATGGCTCCTTAATATTGGATGAGTCTGCCTCCAGGCCTAGCATGGCATCGATCACTAGGTTGTAGGCATCATTAATGAGTTGCACCTGAACAAAGAACAAGTCGGAGTGAATAATATAGTTTTAGTTCAATATAGTAAAAATTCAAACAGAACATTTAGCCAAAGTCAAACTTTTTTTATTCTCCAACTCCATCCTCTAATGGTAAGGTTGTTTATTGGAATCTAACACACACGCAAAACGCACTCCGGCGGGATAAAAGTAAATATTTTCCATTCATTCCTAAGATATATTTATGTTTTGATGTCTAATCTTTTTTTTTTATCTGTGTTTTGGTGTGAGAATAATTTAATCGCAGGTAAACCATTAGTCCTGCTTCAACAATTAAACTAGAAATACAACAAAAAAATGCATGTTAATTTTTTTTTTTTTTTTTTTTTTTAGAATGTCCAGTTATCCATTGGCTATTGTAATCCCTTTTGGCTGATAAAACTTCAGTGATACGGTTCTTACAGCCATCT